TTTTTAAAAATATTTAAATAACTAGTGTAAAATTATAATACTAATGCACATGTATATATATGTAACAACAACAATAATAATAATAAAATATAATATGTTATTGATTGAGTTTGACATTTGATGGAAATTAAAGTGATTACAATTTTCAAAGCATTCAACACTTATGTTAGAGGCTGCCATTAGCACTCTCCTATATTATACTGTTAATAATCAAAACATTGACCAAAACTTATATGAATATAAGCGTCATGATAAGAATGGTTAGAACAGTTCTACTTTTTAGATGAGTTGTTTTTTAATCTAATTTATTTTTTTCAACTGCGTTTGGTAACTTCGACTACATCCATCTACTTTCAATTAGATTCAAATACATTCATCTACTTTTATTTTCAAATTTATATTCACCTTTAATTTCCTTTTACAAACTTTTACATATATTTAATCATTTTCAAATGCATAATTTTCTTGAATGTTCAGTGATGATGATAAAAAGGTAATTGGAAACATATGAAGTTATACGAATACAGTAAATTACGATTCTTATTATCACTGGAATCCAACCCTCAAAATCTAATCATTTTAATTAGATTAAATTACGATTTTTGTTACTTGTGGTTTTCATTCTTATAATTTATTGTTGTTTCCATTCTTGTAATTTACAATTTATTGTTGTTTCGGTCTTTAAGGTGCGTTTGGTATACAGACTGGGTGGGACGAGACGAGACAAAAATTAATGGTCCCATGTTTGGTGGGCCATGGGACAAAAATGAGATTAGACAAAAGTAAGATTGAGTGAGACTATTGTTGAGTTTTTTTATTCTACCAAAAAAAGGTAGAACAAAATTAGACTAAATTTGAAATTACAATATTGCCCTTATTATTTGATATCAAATACAAACCTAATTTAATTGCATTCTCTTTATTCTCTTCCACAGCCTCCATTCTTGAAATGTTAAACTTTTGACGATGAAGTGACAAATGCTATTTACAATTGTTGTGTTTAAACTTTTTAAATTATGTGCGTATTTAGAATTTGTGGTATAACAAATGTTATTTTACATGTGGTATTGGAATGTTAATTTCTTTTGATTTCATTTGATATCATTTACAATCATTATATGATATAAAATAACATTTATGGATAATATGGTCATTTTAACAGGTTTGTGCTGTCTTGTCCAAGTCTTATCGTTATCTACTTTTTTTAATTAAACAACCATAAAAATAAAAAATAAAAAATAAAAAATAAAAAAGCTAATTGCCCCCATGCAGGATCGAACTACAGACCTCCAGTTTACAAGACTGGCGCTCTACCACTGAGCTATAGGGGCTGTCTTACGATTAAGCATCTATACAAACCCTATTAACTATAATCCAAGATCCTCATAGGTCGTTAAACCCTCGTGGTTCATCGTCTTTGTGGAATCATTTCCGGATGGAGGTCTTGAAGATGGCGAATTCTAGGGTTTCTCTGCTTCGCCATAGTTTCAACTCTTTTCTGCCGCCTTCTCCTACCTCTACGTTTTCTCTGTCTATCTTACCTACCCGTAGATTCATCGTCTCCGCTTCAATTTCTTCAAAAGAATCGTTGGTTGATTCGATATCTTCATCTTCCCAAGAAGCTGCAATTCCATCCACCGACTCTGCAAACCCTAATTATCGGTGGAAGCCAATGTGCCTCTATTATACTCAAGACAAATGCACCATGGTAACTTCACCTCGTTAAGTTTCTCAACTCATATATTTTATGTATATTTAATGTATACAATGTAAATGATTGTATGAGAAGGAGAGTTAAGGTGATAAGAGAAAGAAGGGATTTGGACCTTGATCTCTTTTAGTCTCAAACCACCCATGAATCGTGCTTTTGATATGCGGACTGATCCGGTGCATCTTATCCTAACGTGTATCCAAGGGTGCAGATCCGTTCTTACGCTTCTCACCTTAACTTTCTTTCTCGCTGGAACCCTACCCTGATGTAAATTTGTGCATAGGTTTTATATTGTTGCTTAGAATTCCTAAATTATTGTTGTGGTGTAATGTGTTTGACTTTTTGTTGGTTTGTGGAAATTGGAAAACATTTTCACCCTTATTGGTTGGATTTCTGAGAAAATTGTTCTTGAAAGCTGATTATTATTAAGAATGACTTTGATTTAGGTTATACCAATTTGCAGATGTTATATTTATGGCATGTAACACTACAACAAATCAGGTTTATAGATCACCATAAGTGTTCAGTCCTAATGACTTTAAGTTTATAGGACAAAACACTTGTGTGTCCCATCTTAAGAGTGTTGTAATAAGTTTATGACGTTTTTGAGCGTCTTATCAAGCTATATGGGTGTCTTATTAGCCCTTCTATAAGACATCTTTTTATAGGACACTTGGGGCCTGTTTGTTAGCAGCTTAACGAGCTTAATGAGACTCACAGCTTATTCGGTCATCTATAAATGACTGTTTGGTAGTTGCTTAATGATATAGAAAGTGGCTTATTCAGTAAGCTTTTAAGATGGAGTTTTATGCAAAAAGCCTAGTTTGTTCCAAACCTGCCCCTCCCAATTAAAAAAACTCTCCTTCCATCTATGAAGAAAATCCCGTAAACAAAAACCTTCCCAATCCATTCAGACAACTTTATCCACATAGACAACTTTATCCATACAGGACTTAATGGAAAACCAACCTAACAACCCCATTTTATAAGAAACTTCTCCAAATACTGTTGTATAAAAGGGCTAATAAGACACTTAGTTTCAAAAGTGTCCTAAAAAGCTTGTTAAGACGCCCAAAAATATCTTATAAGCTTATTACAACACATTTAGACTTTAGATAGGACACATCAGTGTTTGGTCCTATAAACTTAAGTACTATAAAGTAATCTATTAGGACACTCGGCATTTTTGGCAGGGTACATTGAATAAGGTGAGGGGAAGAGCCCCCAGTAAAAGATTAATTTGTTAAGTTATTTAGGTATAATTTTTTTTGCCTCATATATCCTTAGTTCCCCTCAGTAACTTACGACGGTTCCCTCCACGTGGCTCAATCCATTTTGACGAAACCCCCCACTCTCTCACTTGATTGTCATTCCCCGCACACAATGATCTCTAACCCTGGTTGTTCGAGTTCTACATCTTCAGGTCTACTACACTAAGGGCTTGTTTGTTTTTTGGAAAAAAGCTCTTAATACCTCTTAAGTCTGAATCGGTCAGACGTTTTTATTTTCAGACCGTTTGATTTTTTTTAAAAAATAAGAGCTGAAAAGCTCTTATTGTCCTCTGAATTTATAAGTGGTAGTCTAAACTCTTAATGGGCTCTTATTCACACATGAGGACACCATATCGATCTCTCGTTCTCTCGCTTGATTTCCAGCTACCAAATCATACCAATCTATCCACATCATACGATCTAGACACCATATCGATCTCTCGCTCGGTCTCAAGCTACCGATCTATACGAAACGATTTCTACAAATCGATCTCTCCTATATATGAGTTATTTTCTGAGTATGATCAAACCAATGAGCAAGGGGATGATGGCGACACAATTAATGCAATATGAATATTGGTTCTAGTCGTTATCAGACTTTGTTCGTATTTATATTGATTCAGATTTCAGACGTAAAAACAGTCTGACTGATTCAGATTTCAGACTTCAGCACCACCTCTTATAAATCAGAAGTGAAATCAGACTTCAGACTTTAGCACCTCTTAAAAAACAAACACCACCTAAGCCTACAATTCTAGTGCTCAGATTTCTTAGTCATGCTAAAATGCTAATGTTGGTTGATGGTCTTGTTAAATATATCTCACTTTCTTGTTCTTTTGGTTTAAAAGTAAATCAACTCACCTAATGTTAATTCTAAATTTGTTCAAACCAATTCATCTAGAAAGAAATTATATAAAATAATAGTATATTTGCTATTATGTTAATTGAAATGGTAAAAAAAATTGAAACTGAAACTTATCTTATTCAGTTAACCAAACAGTTTAACTCATAAACCAAATTACCAAAACCGTTTTCATACATGTAAGTTATCCGCCACTGATTTTTGGTGTCTTATAAACCCGAATTTGTTGTAGTGTAGGTGGAGATGGATCACTTCGTTGTCTTTCCAACATTACTTAATAGATATAAATTCTTATGCAAAATGCAATTTGATTATTGTTCGATTTTTCTTCTTGGGCAACAGATGCAAGATTCCACTCATCTACAGAAATTCAACCATAGTTTCTCTTTAAAACCTGCACTAAATGCTGGTGGATACAAGAACAAGCACTCTAAGCATTTGGATTTCTTTCTTGTGCTTGATTTGGAGGGGAAAGTTGAGATTCTTGAATTTCCTGTTTTGATGATCGATGCCAAAACCATGGACGTTGTAGCTTTCTTTCATAGGTATTGAATCATTCTTTTTTCATGAATTTTATTTCATTCTTCACAAGTAATCATACCGGGGCTTTATTCATGCGACGTGAACATGGTGGGTAAGAGTCTATAAAGCACATTCTCTTGGCTGGTGAGACCGGAAGGAACGTGTTTGAAAAACATTCATCATAAATAAGTTGAATGAGATAAATGTTGTTTGGAAGAACTGAAGTTGAAAATGAAGAGCAAAAACACAAAGAAAAAGAGTCACATATTTCACATTACATCTCACTCATTTTCTTTGGGGTTGTTTGGTTGGTTTTCCATTAAGTCGTGTATGGATAAAGCTTTCTGTGTAGATTAATTTGTCTTAATAGATTGCAATGGTTTTTCCATAGACAGAAAGAGCTGTTTTTTAATTGGGAGGGCCATGTTTGGAAAAAACTTGGCTTTTTGTATAAAGCTACCCCTAAACCCTATAAGCATCTTGAATAAGTTACTTTCTATATCATTAAGCCATTACCAAACAGTTATGTATAGCTGACCGAATAAGTTGTGAGTCCCATTAAGCTCATTAAATTGCTAACAAATAGGTCCTTTGTGCGTATGCTCTTCATCTTCAACTTTACTTTTTCCAAATAACATTTATCTCATTCAATTTATTTATAATGAATGATTTTCAGCCAAGGGAATGTGTGTGGTAGACTCCCATCCATCTTTCTTTTCGTAATGTATATATGCAAGCCGTGTTGGGTGAGATACTCATTTTGAGAGGTATACATTGTGTTAAAACAAGACTATCTTTCACCATCCAAGAATGTGGAAAAACCGGGTGGATCCACTTGTAAGTAAGTGGTGGCACGGGCTACTTGGGGTGTAAACGAGCCGAGCCGAGTTGAGTAGGAGGTTAACCGAGCTCAGCTCGAAAAAACTATACCATGCTCGAGCTCAAATAACTTTTTCAATGTAGGGTCGAGCTCGAATATTTCTTGAGTTATCGAGCTCGAGCTTGATCCTCGTTGTGGGCTCGTACTCGTGATCAATTAACTTGTTTGTTGGTTCGAGGTTGATAATTTTTATATTTTTATCATATGAGCATTTTTGACTCAAAAAAGTATATGCTCGAATGGCTCTGCTCGACTCGAAAAATTTATTCGATCTTTCAAACGAGCCTAGTTGAACATTGGTTTATGAAGCTCGACTCTTTAAGTTAAATGAGTTCTATTTTGGGTTCGAGATTGACTCGAGCTCGAGAATTATCAAGCTCGAGTAGCTCGAGTAGCTTGTTAAAGCTCGACTCATTTACACCCCTATAGGCTACCACCAATATACTCCATCCTAGTGTATAAAAACTTTTACTACCCTTAATGATGCTACCACTATGATTCGTTTTGTGCTACCACTGGGTGTCGTTGCTGTAAAACTGAGAGGCTACAGTAGCATATCGAAGCTTAAAATTGAGTTTTAATGGTTAACTGTAAATCATTCAAATTTGAACCGATTTCTTAGTGCTTTATATTGTAACTTGTAACTATTATTAAAATTTATTTTATTCTTATATTACAGTAATTATTTTGCGCTACCTTTGAAAAAAATTCTGGATCCGCCTCATTATTTCTAACAAGTATGTTGACTTTCTTTCACAGGTTTGTTAGGCCTTCAGAAATGAGTGAAGAAAGAGTTAATCAATACATTGAAGGAAAATATGGAAAACTAGGTGTTGACCGGTACGTCGATGTTCTATTTTGGCTAAATTATCTTGCATTTCACTTTTTAAGCTTGTTCTTCCTTCAAGAGATATCTTCGTATGACCTTTTTTTAAGTATATAATATTTATATACGGCAAATTGAACTCACACACACTTCTCGTCTTTGGTGAGACTTGAACCCATGACCTCAGGAAGGTGAGGTTACCGGCAAAGAAACTCAAATACCCATGTCTCGTTGGAGATTCAAACTCAAAACCTAAGGGTTGTAGCTACTCGATTGATACCACTGAAATCATTATTGCATTTGAGGGATTTTAAGAATCAATTTGAAAGAGACTTCATCTATGGATGCCATTTTCTAAATTAGCCGTGTTTGATAAGTTTGTTTATGTAGCATGTTCTGGTTGCATACCCCTACCTTGCTAGATACTAAAAGAAACTATCTTTTTGCTGCTTTTTGAGGAAATATCAACCAATGTTTTGAGAACCTTTTGATCAACTATTCATGATGAATGTCGTGATTGATATTCATATGATGAAATTATTCATGATGAAAATGCATGATATGAGTAATATTCTTGAAAATTTAGGGTTATTCATCATGAATAATACATGAAATAGTTGGTTCCTTGCTTCTCAAAATATTGATGGTTCTCATTTAAACACATATTTTTATCACAGTCGTCAATGCTACCATTTTCATCAACTCGTTTGAAATTCCTGAACTACCCTATTTTGACATTTGCCTTTACTTGTCCGATACCATTGAAGAAAATAATATTATTGGGTGTTGCAAGGTGATTGGACTAATGCGTTTACAGGGTTTGGCATGATACAGCAATTCCATTTGAGGAAGTTATAGTACAATTCGAAGAATGGCTGGCAAAACATAGCTTGTTCAGCGAGGAACTTGGCGGACCACTTAATCGAGCTGCATTTGTAACCTGGTAAGTTCATAATTCTTCAATTAAGGCGAGAAGTTTGTTTTGTGCGTTGTTCCCTTTCTTGTCGTCAACAAAAAAGACATTTTTTCGGATATGTGCAAGAAGTCCAAGCATTACATCATAAATACAAAGCAATGAAGATTTAACCACAAGGGTGTGGCATAGTGGTTGAGGCCCATTGGGATGTGGTGGAATATCCCATTTATCCCGGATTCATTTCCAGGCTCCACAACGATTGTGGCCATTGAGTTTATTAGCTGATATCTTACTGTCGCAATTTGACGGGATTGCTATGGGCATAGCTATGGACACCCTTCCAAAAAAAGATTTACTTCATCCCACCCTGAGGTGGGGTCTGGGCACGGTGAGATGTACGCAGACTTGACCTATGCCCTAAATAGTAGAACAGTTGTTTTCACAGAGACACCCAGCTTGTGCAAAGTGTGATGGAAAAAAAGATAAAAAGTTGAAAAAGTACATGAAAACAAGAAGGGAAGTGTTCAATTTTGAAAAACGAGTTACAAGTAAGCAAGAAAATTCAATCAAACAAGCATACGTAACATACAGACAAAAGCATGTACAAGAAAAAGATAATGAATTATCGTTTGCGGTGAAAGTTGAAATTTCTTGAATTGGATATGTATGCTAACTTAATGTATGATTATATGCACCAGTGGGAATTGGGATATAAAGACAAAAATACCCCAGCAATGCCAAGTTTCAAAAATGAAACTACCATCATATTTCATGGAATGGATCAACTTGAAGGACATATATCTCAACTTTTACAAGAGAAGGGTGAGTATGCTGCATTGCCTTAACCTTTCGACTCGAATGTCAATATCCTTGTTTTGCTGCTTTTAAGTATGTGTGTGTGTATATATAAATGTGTGTGTGGTGTGTGTGTGTGTGTGTATATATATATATATATATAAATGTGTGTGTGTGTGTGTGTGTGTATATATATATATATATATAGAGGCTTAGTCATTTTAGAACTCCATATATTGTGATAGAACTTTTATCTTAAGGTATTGTTTCACATGATTCTTTCTCATCTAAGGCTAGCATTTAATATATTGATGAACGTATATCTGTTTCACAATGTGTTGGCTTCATATGTATACAGTTCACAATGTAAAACTTTTTTACGTGTAATTTTTGTTTCACAAACCGGTTGAAAGGTTCACATTGTGAAACAGATATATGTTAATCAATATTCTAAATCCCAAGTCTTAGATGAAAATAGATCATATAAAATAATACATGGGGGTAGGGTTAGTGTGCGGCTGTTAGAACCCCGAATCGGTTTTGTACCTTGATTATGTTTCCATTCGTATGTTCTGGTTGTTTGATTTTTTGGTTGCTTATTTCTAACTCACTTTTTCAAAATTTAGCACCATCTCTTTTTTTTTCATGCATTATGCATTAGTTTGAGGTCTTCGTGGAAACAACCGCTCTACTTTTTGGGTGGATGTTAGGTCTGTTTACATCTCACCCTCCCTTAGACCCTACCTTTTGGTGGGATGAATTGGTGAGATTTGAACCTTTGACCTTCTGAAAGGTTGGGCCCTACCGATAACCCAAGTACCGTTGGGCCAACTTTGGTATTTTACGCATTCTTGGCCACTCTGTGCAGCCTCTTTTGCTCAAATTTTAACCCATGTTTTTCCTTGTAACGATTATAGGCAGCTGGAATGCGTACGATGATGAACGAACTGAAGATACCGATGTTGGGAAGTCACCATCTTGGCATTGATGACACGAAAAACATAGCGAGAGTGTTGCAACATATGCTCACAGATGGTGCGGTTTTGAAGATTACGGCAAGAAGAGATCCTCGATCTCCCGAAAGTGTCGAATTCCTCTTTGTAAATCGTATAAAATAGGTCTGTCTCCTCTACAGGCCATGCTCTTCAAGTGGTCATTGAATCATAGGATATGTTGCGGGATTTTCGCAAAGTTTTCCGTCATATTATAGTTTTAGCAGTTTTTATAAAAAAAATTCATTTTCGTTATCCGATTAATGATCATAGTAAAATGTTTGGCTAGAGATGCATATTATCTCGTCTGGACCTCCCGATTTGGTCAGCCAAAAGAAAAGACGGATCTATACAAGGACCGGTCCGGACCAACTTCGACATGATCGTTCTAACCATTCTAGACCGGTCCCCAATCCTTTTTGTTTTTTTATTTTTTCTTAAAAAAAATTGTTGTTGTGATTTTCTTTATTAACCTGTATATTTTACCTGTTATGCGAGCCGATAAATCCCAGCTCAATTACCTGTTTTGTGGGTAGCTTTGAGACACTGCATTTGAACCTTTGTGGTCATAAGAGAATTTTTATTCTTCCTTGGATTTGAACTGAGAACTTCATATAATAATTATCAAATCAATAAGACACCAGTTGAGGTTTAGTAACATGGCTACTTGGGGGTAGGTTGGTGGATGGTTGATGTTTTAACCATTTGTATTTAATATTTTAATTAATGCTTTCATTATAGTACCTTTTTTCATTTATTAAATTGATTACAATGAGATTAATGGTTAATAGGCATAGGACTGGATTATAATCACATCTCCATCTTTGTTTTCAAGGGAGAATTAGTGATTTTTATTTATGCGACATATTTTAAATCAAATATGTTAAAAATCACATTCGATCCAAAATGAAACATGTTTAAATCTCACATATTTCTAAAGTTTTGTCTTTATATGTGAATATCACAACATTATGGACTTGTTTGTTACCTCTTAATACCTCTGAAGTCTAATTCGAATATTAAGAACGTTTATTTTATTTTTAAAATAAGAGCTTAAAAGTTCTAAATGGCCTATGAAATTTTAAGTGCTAAGCATATCCCTTAATACCTTTTAATCTTAATCCATCCTTTATCAAATGGTTCACATTTTGGGGGCCGGAAAAGATTTGTTAGTAAAAATTATTTTTTATACTTTTGTAACAAATTATTTATCTTTTATATTTTTGCATTAATTTGACTGATTCAAATTTCAGACTTCAGACGTAAAACAAACAATCTAACTGATCCAGATTTCAGACTTCAGACGTAAAACAAACAATCTTACTGATCCAGATTTCAGACTTCAGACGTTGACTTCAGGAGTGAAATGAGACTTCATTACCTCTTTAAAAACAAATGTTACATGTATGTAATTGTTTGATTAAATGCTTTCGATTCTTCATTTTTTATCTAAAAAAGCAAGACAAGTCATAAAAATGTATAAAAGAAAATATATCAAAATATTTTTTCTAAATCTGAATGATGCTAAATCTAATTATTAATAATATATTTAATATACGGAGATAGGACATATCAAGGATTACGTTACCTGGCCTCAATCTCGTTCCTGGTTTTTAACTTATAGGTATCCTTGTCCCCATCCTGATCACTGGTTTTGTACGGGATCTTCGGCCCTGTCGGACAAGTACACCAGGTACCTAATGGGGCGGATCTCGTTTCCATGATTAGTGGTTAACATACACAAAGAGAGAGAGAGAGAGACGATCAATAATTTACCATTCTTAATCTTCCTGATTTTTGTTTCACCTATTTTGATATGATACTTTTTTTTGTCTCGCTTAGTCCTTCTGTCCTTGTCATAATGTCATGTTTCGGTCTATTGTCACACAAAACTTAGGACAATAGGTTTGTTTTTTATCATATGTTCCCCTTTTGCGTTCCAAACACACCATCAGGGTCAATCTTCGTCAGTTAGTGTAACGTTTAGAGACAACTATCGACTTATCAACCAAATGGTCTTTAGTCTAGCAGTATTTGAGCCTCTTACCTCCTAGGAAGTCAGGTGTTCAAACTTCACCGATGATAAGAAGGGTGTGTGAGTTTATTTATTACATTTGTTGTATATAAAACATATTATATACTACAAAAAAAAATTTATCGACTTATCAAGCTTAAAATCTCAAGCTCCATTTCGTATCAACTTGACTCGTATACGTGTAAGGCTCCACTAAACTCAAATGGCTTCATGCATAAAATAAAAAAAAAATTAGATACTATGAAAAGTGTTACACAGACTCAGTTAATATATCAGTAAATAATAAATATAATGTATGAATATTGCTTGTATATGTATGTAGACGTGTTTAAACTCGACTCATTAATAGTTGTCGAGCTATCGAGCTTAAGTATATTTTTTGTGCTACTGAAATTCTCTGGGGACTTTATCTCAATATGACTTTTGATCGAACGGAAGTCAAGTATTATCGTTTATTTGTTTTCGACCCAAGTTCATGTCTGTCTGATATGGTTATAGAGTTCTCAAAATCAGACAAATTATTAGCTTCTAGTTAGTTCAACTTAACTAACAATGTTATAGTTATAATTAAAGCAGTCTTCAACTAAATTATTGTTCAGTTCAGTTTATGTGTCAGCTAAATGCACAAATCAAGTGACTTTTATCTGAATCACATTCTATATACAATAATAAGAATCTCATAAACATACTGCGAGTCATTATTTTATCTCTTACAACTCAAGAACTTAAAATTCATTCAAACACTGTTTTTTGTATCATATTTTATTTCGATGGTTTAGTATCACATAAATACTTTTTGGGTGCGTTTAATATATTGGATATGACATAACATAATAGAACAAATATTACTGTTTAATTTTTTAGAAGATTTTTATATGGAATAGACCAGATTAGACTGGATCAGATATGTTTCACCCCACCCCATGGAACATGGTGGAACAATGTGAGATAAGTATATTTTACCAATATACCCTTAAAATAAAACTTAATCTCTTCTAAAACATCAAATATGTATTTATTTTTACATTTTATACATTCTTTAAATTTTATTTAGTACATTATGTTTTTTAAACTTTTCATTTTATTGTCCTCAAAACATTACTTTTATACCATTCATATATTTGGTTAATTTATCTAATTTATTTTACATATATATATATATATATATATATATATATGTGTGTGTGTGTGTGTGTGTGTGTGTGATACAACCCTAATTGATGGCAAACAATAACCGAGCCCGAATCACTGGATAACCACCGTCGGCGATGTTCTCACTTCCCCGATTATCGAAGTAATCGTGGTATTTAAATGTTATCATTCCAATTTTACCCTTCCACGTCAAAATATTTTTAATTTTTTAATACTAATTATAATTTAAAAAACCCCTTAACTTATGTTAATTTATGATTTAAAACACAATGCTTGGTTCATATACTATTATAGTGTTCTCGTAAATCATAAAGGTTTTCGTTTGAACCTTCCATATATATAGACTTTTTTATTTTGGTGTCATTTTAACTTTTTGGCAATTTTTTTTTTCTAATTACATATTTTGTTATTAAAAATATTTATTTTTTTATAATTTAATAAATTATATAAGCTAATCAACATGTACAAAAAGTATAAAAAAAAAACTGATTAAGGGTAAGTCGACCATTCTAAATATTTGTGTTGTCCAGTTATGTTTATCAAACGCTGAACAATTGTTCTATCTTATTCTGAATAGTCAAGTCATGTCATATCATATCTGGATACCAAATGCACCCTCAAAACTCACGCCCAACATATTTTTAAAATAAATTCAACAGAAAACAGATAGAAATTTTGTACTTATAATTAATAATTGAGTTTAATATGAATGGTAGGTAATATAACAAAGGAAATGTATGAAAATATGTGAGTTTTTAACATTTCAATTGAAATCCACACATAAATAGATTTTGCTTACATATTTGGCGGTAACGTTTGGTGGGAGTGCCAAAGCTCAAAACCAAATACAACTACTAATATTACAAATACGACCCCCAATTCTCACTCACTTTCCATTTCTTACATCAAAATTTACATTTTTATCAATCTATTTCCTAAATATAAAATTCCTGACAATTTAGGTCGTCCTTGTGTTGACATTGATTTGACGTCTTTTCAGACGATCTCGTGGGAAGACGTATAAGGGAACAACTTGTTTCAAATTGTTAAACATGATAGCATCTTATAATGATATATTGTACGCTTGGTGTTCTTTATTTTTTTTTTGTCTGATCTTGGTGTTAATTTTACATTTACAGGACACTGTTGCTAGTATATAACCATGGTCGTGCATGACTGCTGCATATAAGCTAGCAGGAGTTCCGACTATTATTGGATGTGACTACAAACAAAAATATACATTTTTTTTTGCAACCGATGCCACCTAATATAATTAATTGTCTTGTTAATAATGTATCCATGAAACTGCTAAAGCAGCCCCGAGTGTCGTAAAGATAAACAAGCAATTGTATCAATCAAACCAACATATAGGGAGACTCGAGAGAGCTTGACACAAGACTGCATTTATACACACATCACACATGCAAAAAGATATATCGTGTATAGGTGACCTTTTTTTGAGATCCCAATTCTACTTGTCCATTTCGTATACTACTTTATGTTTACATGATGTAAAATGGAAGAGATCATTTATGGACACATACTATGTTTACGTCCATATGATTTTAGTATATCGAGTAAGGATGTGGGCCTCCTTATAAGATGAATGAGAGGTACGAGGTTCGACTCCAGACATCATCCACCTATTGTATGGGACGTGTGATTTCCATCTTTATGATAGTCGTGAGATCGTACAGTGGGGCTAATCCAGATAACGCCATATACCCTTTTTGCATAACACCTCACGTTTATTGACAAGTATTACAATGACGCGCCATTTGGGCAATACTGCTAGTTTTGACATGTCTTGGAGAAGAAGAAATTCAAGAAACATAGAGAAAGACAGGGCTACACCGAGTAAATAACAATTGTAAAAGACCAACGTACATAGAACAAAGAAAAATGGAAAACAAACCATGTTGTTGATCATTTTGCTTTTGAACTCACACTTGTATCCACAAATATCAACTCCCATCATACATGAATTTCCTAAATGAATTAAACTAAACGAAGTAAACGACTTGTTGCTAATTTCATTTAGGGACTAAAATGTAAATTTCCTTTTCTCAAGGGATGAAAAATGAAGATCAAGAATAAACAAGGGACCATACATTTATTCACCCAATTAAAAAACAAAATTAATTCCACCAACAAACCCTCACTTCCATCACCCAGCGCGTGTACCCTACAAACCCTCAAAACCCCTATATTAAACGGGCACGTGCAAAACACGCGCAAACAAAGAGCGTGGTCAACAACTTACCCGAAGTTTTCCGTTTTAAACTCCGAAACCCAAAAAACCCCTTCTCTACAAGAACCTCCGCCCCTGCCTCCCGTTTTTTCTTTGTATCACTCGGTGAAACGTCATTGATATATACGAACAGACAGAAATCGATAGATACAGAGAGGGCTAAAACCTAATCGGAGTCAACGGTGGCCTGAAAGCTTGAACAAATTCGAATCAGAGGTTTATCGAGGGGTAATTAGGGTTTCCTTTTTATGTATCGTCATCAATCTGATCAAATCGGGGAGTTTTCAAGGTAAGCGATTCTGTGTTTCTATCTTGAGCGTTCAGGTACTCAATTTGGAGTTATGGTTATGGATTACATTATTTGAAGAGTTTTGAATCGAAAGAGGAGGAGATAAAGGTGTAGACGGAGCGTTTATTTATATATATACATATATAGTGCGGGTTTTTGTCATGCGATTATCTCGGGCCGCTATTCTGTCTAAGCGGAGGAAGGACCAGAGAGTGATTCGAGCTAAACAGAAACATAAGAGGCTTGATGCAATTTGTGAAAAGACGTATACTCAGAACCGTGTTAAGATAGAATCTCCTATATTGAGTGAGGTTAATGGTGATGCATCGGAGGTTAGGCGGAGTTCCAGGGTCCGACGAGCTCCGTTGGTGCTGGATGCATCGCCTCCTCCTCCTAAGAAGCGGAGGAGGATAAGTGAAGCAGGTGGGGATGGTTCTTCTAAAAGGGTTGGGGACAGGGTCAGTGTGGGTTTGAAAACCGAGTCTCCTTGTTCAACCACATTGGGTTTGGAGGAGGAAGAATCAGGTGAATGGAAGTTTAGGTTGAGAGCTAGGGGTAGGAAGGTGAGTTTTATGTTGGAGAATTCTTCTCCCAGGAGTAAGAAAAAGCTTTTTGGTCATTCAGATGATGTAAAGGAACAATCTGATCTGGTGCGTCCACGAGTAAACGGAAAGAAAGGGGGTTTGGTTGGGGAGACCTTGATGGTTGTGCAGTCAAAGCGACCTGGTAGAATCAAAGCTTCTAATGTTGTGAGTTTTGGGCGTGAAGAGATTGGTTTGGGCAACAGTGATAAAAATGGGGAAGATACAAGAGCTTTGCAGGCAGTAAAAGACAAGAACAAGGGCTCTTTGCTGGAGGAAGTGGTAACAGATAATGGGGCCACTGTTGAATTACTGGAGCAGGGGAATGAAGATCCAATTAGCTTTAATTCCAACGACAATGCCAACAACATGCTAGAATCTGCTGAACAGAGTATGCCAGTAGAGCAACTTGAATCTGGGGATAGAGAAAACCAAAGTTTTCATCAAGGAGTTATATGTGCCCCCGAAAATCAGGTTGGAGATGGTACCTTGCATGCTAATCATTTACAAGACGAGAACACCAAGAAGGTTGGTGAAGACAAATATTCTCCAACTCACAGACATCATAAACCTCGGATAAAAAAGGGAAGGTGTTGTGGTCTGTGTGGGGGAGGAACAGATGGTAAACCTCCAAAAAGGTTGGTGCAAGATGGGGCTGGCAGTGATAATGAGGCATACAGTGGTTCCTCCTCGTCTGAGGAGCCAACCTATGATATATGGGATGGGTTTGGTGATGAGCCAGGTTGGCTTGGACAACTCTTGGGACCCATAAATGACCGTTTCGGGATTGCTGGAATATGGGTTCATCAACATTGTGCTGTATGGAGTCCAGAGGTATGGTTTATTCATCAAGAGCCTTCAATAATTGTTGTATAGGTTTGCTTTTGCTTTGAATTATGCTTTAGAGTGTTACCTCAGAACATTGACCTTATTCGTTATCATTTAGATGTTTTCTTGCTTGATGCTTAGATGTTTCTTTAACTATTTGTTTCAGCACTTCCAGATTATGATTAAGAAAATATACTCTAGCATACTGGCCATCTTTACATCCAAGTCTTTGAGATGATTTTGAGTGAAGTGTTTTAAACTGGTTGTAGACTTGTTTTGCGCAGTTAACATTTTCATTTTATGGGTTCAATTTATTTGGTGTGAGAAGATATAAAGATGTGATTTCGGGTCTCATTTACTTATGGGAGAAGAAATGAAAATGGGACCTACAAATTGGAAAATAGAGAAGGGAGGAAGATGTTGTGTAATCTGAATATTTGACATGAATCTCCATGTACCTCTGAAGCTATGTCCTAATATCCTTTAGGATATTGTTTGAAATGCTTTTTTAATGCTGATGGTTAGTTTGCACATCATTTTGAAAGATATGACCTTACCAAGTGTTTATTGACAGTAGATACTATTACTTTTGGGGCTTTACTTGGTGATAGTTTCTACTCCTAGGCAGCTTATTTGGCCTTGGGAAATTCCAAATATTAAACTGGGGTTGCGACAAATTGAGCATCTTCTGACACGCATGGAGGAATGTTGATCCCAAAAGTTCAATCAATTGGCTTAAAACTTCATGCTTCTTTAACTTATTGTAACCAAATTGAGACATCACGTAATAGTTCTCACATAGTTTAGAGTCATTGAATATAGTAGAGGAAATGCTCGATGCACCATGCCTCTTAACTTATTTTGTAAAAGATTTTTTCATGTCACTATGTGATATAGTGCAATTGGTGGAATCTTTATGAAGCTCTTTCTACAAAGCAGAGGAAAAACGATATATATATATATATATATATATATATGGAATCTTTATGAAGCTCTTTCTACAAAGCAGAGGAAAAACGATATATATATATATATATATATATATGGAATCTTTATGAAGCTCTTTCTACAAAGCAGAGGAAAAATGATATATATATATATATATATATATATATATATATATATAAAGGAAGGTTCAAACGAGAACGCTAACTATTTAAGAAAACAAGAAAAAAGTTGTTAATGTACAAAATCATATGTGATTCACGTAACAAATCATATATGATAAAATCATATGTGATTTTATATTAAATGGAAGCGGGCGACTTTTGAGGCCACTTAAGTCGCAGGGTAATAGTCTCCCAGATCATGTATGATTTGTTACGTGAATCATATATGATTTTGTACATTAACGACCTTTTTCTTGTTCTTTTAAATAATTAACGTTTTCGTTTGAACCTGCCNCCCCCCCACACACACACACACACACACATATATATATATACATAGATAGATAGATAGATAGATAGATAGAGATAGAGAGAGAGAGAAAGAGTCCCCTTCTTTTGTTAACCAAATTAGTAGTACAAACTTTGTTAACCAAGACATTTATGTCTTTTTCATTATTGATACCACATTCCTTAAATATTTCATTTACTTAATTTATACATTCTTTTAATTATCTCATTCACTTAATTATTACATTCCTTAATTATCTTATTCACTTAATTATCATATTCCTTAATTATTTCATTCACTTAATTGTTTCACCAATGAAATTTCTGATTTCACCTATGAACATTTCAAACTTTTTTAATTATTTCATTCACTTTTTGGTTTCACCTACGAACTTTAAATAAAAATCATTGTTTCACTTTCTGGTTTCACCTATGGACTTTGGTTATCTGGTTTCACTTATGAACTTTAGATAAAGATCATTGTTTCACTTTTTGGTTCACCTATGAACTTTGATTATCTGGTTTTACCTATGAACTTTAGATAAAAATCATTGTTTCATTTTTTGGTTCATCTATAACTTTGATTGATGGTTTCACCTATGAACTTTGTACAAAAATCATTGTCTCACTTCTAATTTCACCTATGAACTTTCTGATTTTATCTTTAAACAAAAATCATTTAAATATTATTATTGATTATTTTCCAAAAATAAATACGAATATCTTCCAAAAATTTAAAATCATTAAATAATATTATTGATTATCTTTCAAAAATAAAATATGATTATCTTTCCAAAATAAAAACAATTTGTTCCAAAAATGCCCTTCATTTATATAATTTAATTTGTTTCCCTTTTTATTAGATTATACCCTCCCATTAATCACTTGATTAAAAAGGTGAAAGACATAGATTGGCTAACAAAGTTAATACTATTTACTTGGTTAACAAATGAAAGGCTTAGGTCAGTTAACAAAGCTGATACTATAACACACACACACACATATATGTATATATATTCTTGGTAGGTACATGGTTTTGTTATTCAGCACGCCTGTCATCAGAAGATAACCCGGAAGCATATTTATCACTTCTATCCTGATTGGGGTTGCTGATGCTGGACTAATTATAAGCAGTTGTTTGGCTAGCACAAAAGTCTCCCTGCTAGAAAGACTCTTTTAGCAGTTACAATTATTGGTTATATTTGTGCTTTCAAGGAGATATATGCGCACCAAGTGTGCTTTTTCTTCCCTTTGTTTAGCTAGCATATTTAATTCTAAGAGGACTTGGTCCCAGAAAGAAAAGAATTATCATTTACACAGTCAACAACACCTCCACCCTTCCCCCTCTTCTATCTCTCCAACGATCATCCTCTGTCAAGCAAATTACCAGCAAAGGACTTGGATCCGCATCTTGATTAAAAACCTGCAACCATATTACTACTGTAGGTCCATTGTTCTGTTGCAATTGGATAGACAACACACTGGAACAATTCCGCCACCACATCAAAGTCAATTTCTTCGCTTGCCCTTGGGGTAGATGTTGGTACCAATAGCCTATAGGCGATCTTTTTTTCCTGTACGTAGAGACAAGTCATACTTGTACAAGGAAAGTCATGAGTTGTAAAAAATTCAAAGGGCAGGTTTCCCAGAGAGATGTGAGTTTAAGGTGGAAATCATCCCCAGCTTTCCAACTTTATCATTATAATCTCTCTTGGTTAGTAATGCCTACTATTATTATGTCTTTAGGTTAATTGTCTTCATATTATCTTTAATTTTTTTGAGTCTTCTCAGTGCATGTTACCCTTCTATTTCTTCCATAACAATACAGACTAATAGGCTGGACCGCTGGTTTTTGTGATAATGGAAGTAGTGTGCAAAGTTGGTCTTGTAATTGAAATTTGATTGACTAATTTAAGAAATTGGATCAATGAACAAAGAGGGTCATTCAACTGATATGAGGTTCAGTTCTTACAACTGTAGTGGCAGCAGAAAATGTTTTTGTCTTTAGGCGTGGATGACAGAAGTGGGGTTGGATATGGCGGCGGTGGACCTTTGAAGAAGATGACAACGTTGGACAGTTCTTGTTTTTCTTTTTCTTCACATTTTGTTGTTTATTTTTTTGTCTTTGGGCTTGGAACAATTAATGTATATTGTACATGAGGAATGAAAAAATAGGGAATAAACTAAAGTTATTAAATACCCTTGCAATGAAAGAGATACTTGAGCTTAGGCATCAAATTTGAGTGACTAAACATTTTGGCTGAATTATGCTTAGCTACCGATCATTCAATAGCTTTTTCTCTGAGTGCTTTTTGCTAAATATGGTGACACTAGGGTATTTTGGCTACATACATCACTATGATTTCTTTATCCAAGGATGTGAGAAAACTTTAGAGAAACCTTTCTAGGAAGATTGTGTAGTTTTTTATTCAACTAATAACTTTTAACAACATAGCTTCCATAGTCGGGATACTTGGAAATGGAATGATGTGGTAATCATACTATGTCAATAATCATTTTACATCCTTATTCATTATGATGCATGCATTGATTGTCAAAACTGAGATATACCTTCTTTTTTTAACTCAGCAACATTTAGCCACTTAAGTGTATTGCTTGATCACCCTCAGATTTTTATTTTGATGTAATTTAAGATGCTGTGCTGGCCATTATTATGACATCTTTTAGGGGCTTTGTTATGGTTCTATAAAATACCCCTTGATGCAACACCAATTGTGACCTTGGAAGTTGGAACACCTTTATGCTGAGGATGGCTATTGGTGATCTACTGGTAGGGCAAGATGTCTAGACTTCTACATGTGATGATGTGATCAAGATTGACATGTACTTGTAGGACCAGACTTTTACATGTGAGGATGTTATCAAGATTGACATGTGCTGGTAGGACCAGATTAACATGTGAGGATGTGGTCATGTGATATTTGCACAAATCATTATATACCGAAGGACTTGAAATTAGATAGTAGAGCTGGTAGGGATGCTAATCATCTTCCAGAGTAATATATTACTGGTTATTCTTTATATGATTCATGATGGGTCACATTACTAGTCTGGGATAAAGGTTCCTTGTTACTCCTGTTGTTTAGTCATAGATATATGGCAGAGCATTTTTTATTCCTTTCAAAAAGTATGATGACCTCTGTTTCTAGATTCTCTGTCTTACCACCTAGGACATCAGCACAATCTTTGTATTTTTTTGTAGTGTTTTTTCTTTCTCTCTTTTGAAAATTTTATGCAAGTATCACTTATTTCATGGATTGAACTCTTATCATTGTATGTATTACTGCATGTTACTAGCATATCTTATTCCTCGGCCTTTTCTTCTTGGTGTTTTGTTTATCGATTCTACTTCAGCACTATTATACCTTTCATATTGAGTTGTATTGGGTTTGTGATACAAATTGATTTGAGAACAATTTGACTCTCTGTACCTGTTGCTAGTGTATTGGGTCATGTTAGTGGAGATACATGACTACTTTACTTGGTTATTTCTGCATGCTGTTGCAGGTTTATTTTGCTGGTTTGGGATGCTTGAAAAATGTGAGATCAGCTCTATGCAGAGGAAAGGTATTAAAATGCAGCCGATGTGGGAGACGAGGAGCAACAATTGGATGCCGTGTGGACAGGTGTCCAAAAACTTATCACCTGGTAAGCATCATATTGGCATTTTCTTTCACATTCCTACTCGAGATTTTTTTTTAAATTCTTGCTCTCTATCTCTCTTCCCCCCTCTCTGCGTTGATCCATCTATTTATATTTTGTTTTTCTATGCCTTTCATGTTCGAGTAAGCACTATAAACTTCACATTTCTCATGGTCAACCACTCTCTTCTTTATGCAGCCTTGTGCTCGTGCCAATGGTTGCATCTTTGATCATCGTAAATTTCTCATAGCCTGCACAGACCATCGACATCTATTTCAACCTCATGGCGGCAAGTCCATTGACAGGTTAAAGAAAATCAAATCTAAGAAGATGAAGTTAGAATTGAGAAAGCTGTCAAATGATGCCTGGCGCAAGGATCATGAAGCAGAAGAGAAGTGGTTAGAGAACTGTGGGGAGGATGAAGAATTTTTAAAACGTGAGAGCAAAAGGCTTCATCGAGATTTGTCGAGGATTGCACCTGTTTATATTGGAGGGTCTACAACAGAAAGTCAAATGCCTTTTCAAGGTTGGGAATCTGTTGGTGGGCTTCAAGATGTCATTCAATCTTTGAAGGAGGTTGTTATATTGCCGCTATTATATCCAGAGTTTTTTAATAATATTGGGCTTACTCCTCCTAGAGGAGTCCTTTTGCATGGATATCCTGGAACTGGTAAAACTTTGGTTGTTCGCTCATTAATTGGTTCATGTGCCCGTGGTGATAGACGGATAGCTTATTTTGCTCGTAAAGGTGCAGATTGTTTAGGGAAATATGTAGGTGATGCTGAGCGTCAGCTAAGGCTGCTATTTCAGGTTGCCGAAAAATCTCAACCCTCTATAATATTCTTTGATGAGATTGATGGGTTGGCGCCTTCACGCACTAGGCAACAAGACCAGACACATAATTCAGTTGTGTCAACCTTGCTTGCTCTACTGGATGGTCTAAAATCTCGAGGTTCAGTTGTAGTAATAGGTGCAACAAATCGTCCTGATGCTATTGATCCAGCTTTAAGGCGCCCAGGGAGATTTGATAGAGAAATTTATTTTCCACTGCCTTCAGCAAAGGATAGGGAAGCAATTCTATCACTTCATACACAGAAATGGCCCACTCCTGTGGCTGGATCATTGCTGAAGTTGATTGCGAGAAGAACGGTGGGCTTTGCTGGTGCAGACCTGCAGGCTCTTTGTACTCAAACAGCTATTATTGCACTGAAGAGGAGATGTCCCTGGGATAAACTTCTCTCTGCTGCTGAAGATAAAGCTCCTTATGGTAAACGTCCTGTTCTCCCCACGTTTGCAGTACAGGAGAGAGATTGGTTGGAGGCTCTTTCAAGTGCACCACCTCCATGTTCTCAGAGAGAAGCAGGAATGGCGGCAAATGACATAGTGTCGTCTCCCCTCCCTGTCCATCTTTTTCCTTGTATGCTGCAACCACTTTCCAGATTGCTTGTTTCATTGCATTTAGATGAACGTGTCTGTTTGCCACCTTCTCTTTCTAAAGCTGCTGCAACGATCAAAACTGTAATTGTTTCTGCCTTGGACAGAAAGAAAGAGAACAGTGACTGTTGGTGGTCTCAAGTTCAAGATTTGCTCAAAGAAGCTGATGTTGCAAGTGATGTAGAATCCAATCTTGTACGTGTCAATGTTCTTGTGGGGAACAGTACCTTTTCTGGTTTGGATGCCTTTGATGATGATACCAACGACGAGGGCATGAAGACATCTGGAGCTTCTAAACTGCACAATGGATTTTTGCAAAATAATTTGGTACATGGTGTATCTCTTCAATTGGGAAAGAAACCAGGCTTTTGCTTATTGATTTCTGGAAGTCCAAGAAGTGGCCAGAGGCATCTTGCTTCTTGCATTCTTCATTCTTTTGCTGGAAATGCTGTGCTTCAGAAGGTTGATTTGGCTACAATGCTGCAGGAAGGAGGCGGAGACATGGTTCAGGGGCTGACTCATATATTAGGTAAGCTTCGGTTTTCATCTTTTGCATATTGATGCAGTATATTCCAGTCGTTTGAGCAGGTCACAGATAATTTATATTCTCTCATTGACAAATCAACATGTCTATTATGTGTGTACATATATTTGCATAGAGGAAAACTTTATTTTAAATGGCAAATTATTTCTTATTTACGGTGATGTGGAATTATCTACTTCCTTGACTTTGCATGCCAAATAAACTACTTTGAATGCCAAATAAACTACTTGGAATTCAAAATTGCTGTGCATGTATTATTAATATTTAGGAAAAATCCATAGCTACCTAAACTAGTAGAACTATAAATGCATAAAAATTGCTGGCATTAATACTAAGAATATATGCTATTTATAAATTTTGGCACATACAGTTTGACATTAAGCTTTTCAACTGATAGAGTATGGATGGAGTTTTTTTTGTAGGCTTGTATGTCTTCATTTGCTAGCAATTTTCATTAGCTGGTGTAAAGAAACAAAAAGGATACCTGAATGCTAAGCACTCTTCTATCTGCTGTATCTTCTGAAGTAGAATGTTGTGTGTGTATTTTGTAAGGCATTCATCTAGAATACAACAATAAGATTATTTAAAGAATTCAGAAGCATAAGTTAGATGTTGCAATGGTAACAAGATGCTTCAGAAAATCTTCCCTTTACTAACTTGCGGCAGCCATCTAAAACTTGGTTCTGGGTTTGCAGTTTGATAATTTTCTGATGATGAAATTTTCTTCTCTAAAGTTTTTGTATTATTATCTATGAAGTTTTCTGATGTCTGGTGACATGTGCTGATTTATATCAACAGAATGAAAAATTCCTCAGGCTTCTATTTTTGAGAGTAAAGCTTTGTATTGGTTTAGATGGCATAATAATTAAAATTTTGAATTTATTTTAAATCACGTCTTAAGTTTGGTTCGCAGGATTCAGATGGAATCTGATGGAATTGGAATGGTCAATTCCATTGACCAAATTTCATTCCGGCGTTTGTCTACCTATGAAATGGAATTGAATTCCATACATTCTACCAACCATGGATTTCATCGTAGTGGAGAAGGAATTGAATTCCATTCCAACCAATTTTCTTAAGGTGACAAAACTACCCCAATAAACCAACTTTCATAAATAATAATTACAAATTCAAAGAAAGGGTATTTTGGTTTCATTCCAATTACTCGGTAAACCAAACAGACGTATTGCAATTCATTTGACATATTACATTCCATTTCCTGCCAACCAAACACTTGGTCAAACCTCATGACATTCCATTCCAATTCCTTCCAGATTCTAATCCTTTGACATATTCCATTCCTTCGAAAGCATTCTGCCAACCAAACACCCCCAAAGTTTTTTCTTTTGCTGTTGAACTTAGTTCTGCTTTTGCATTTTGGTAAAAAAAATAGCAGTTGATTCCCTTCTGATAGTAAAGGTGTGTGAGAAAGTAACATGAGCTTATTATGTTGTAACACATGTATTTTGTTACCATTACTTTGTTTCAATCATCAGGGGAACCACACCTTAGTGTGTGGATGTATTAGACAAGGAAATAATAAGAATAAAAATCGTTCAATATTTCAGCTTACCTCTAAATACTATTTGAGATGCTTATCATATATTGAAATCATCTATGTATTTTTTTCATTAACTATGCAACATTTAGGTACCATGTAATTTTAGCTATTGGAAATGCTTGTACTTGATGCAATGTGCTGATTTAGGAATCCCTTTTGGCTAGGGTTATACTAAGACTGCTAAATTCTTTGCAGTAAGATGTGCCAATGTTGGTCCGTGCATGATATTCATGCCAAGAATTGATTTGTGGGCCTTAGATGCATGCCATCAAGTTGATGAAGAGGAGAATTGTTTCTCATCAAAAACCATTGGATCATCCAAGGCTGACCCATCCCGTCTGATACAACATGAAGTCGCTGATGAAGAAAAGGAATCCCGTCCAAAATTGTGTACATCTTTGGAAAACATGGGAAAATCTCAAGATCCCGTCTTATTGGCCTCTGATCTTTGGAACTCTTTCGTTGAGCAGGCAGAGTCCATACTCATCTCTGCATCCTTGATGATCCTGGTAAGAAGATCTCTTTACATTACTTTCTCAGCTTTGATGATCAAATTGCTGCATCCAGTTGTTGGTATCATACTTTGTGAAAACATAAAATTAATGTTACATGTACTTCATTACATGCCACTGACATGAAATATCACACATCTTAGAGAATGACTTGGAACCTACGAAATTTGACTTGAAGCGATAACTTTGCTAAATGGCCTTTGCGTTAAACATTGATCCTGCTTAATAACTTGTTTCTGTATGTTTCTTTGCCTATCTTTCTTTTGTCTTTAACGTTGTGTTCTCGAATGTGGGGAGAAAAGAAAAGAAATGGATGGAAAATAAAGGAAATGAACATAGTTTTTATTTGTGCTATCCAAAAGGAAGGAAAGGAAAACAAAGAAAATATTTTTTTATGTTCCTGAACAGGAGAGAAAGGACATGAAACATGTCATTTATACAAATATACCCTTTAAAAATATATCATTTATAATGAAAGGTTGGGTAGTTTTGTAATTTTAATAAATCTTTTTTAAAGGGTTTTAGTTTGTTTTCTTTCCTTTCCTCTCATATTTGGAAGGAAAGTTTTAGGAGGAAGCTTATTATTGTTTTCCTTTCGTTTCCTTTCCTTTCTCTCCTAAAAAAGTTTCGAGAACACAAGTGTTTTTTTACTTTCTTCCTTTTCCCTTCCTTTCCTTTGTAAAAAGGTTTCGAGAACATAGAGCAAAGGACCCTGGGAAGCGTCAAATTTGAGATATCTCTTGTAGTATGAAGACATTTCATGACGTGCCCTCTTTACATCTCCGGATATCTTTCGGACTATAATCATGCTTCCTTTCTGAGTTCGACATTCTTCAACAATTAATTATGCTGTTTCCAGTTTGTCTTGCTTTTTGTGGTGTCAGTATTACATTGAGGTTCAAACTTATAAGAAAACCATCTTCAAGATTTTCATCCATGACGTATGCCATTTACACATTTTGTAAAATTCTTGATATAATTGCTATTTTTATCCTTAAACAGGCTACAACAGAAGTTTCATTTGAATTGCTCCCCTCAAGAATAAAGGATTTCTTTGGGAGAAACAAACCAAACCCGGGTCTTTTACATCACACGGAGAGTACTGTACCCAGATTCTCTGTACATGTTGATTGGAACTTCAACCGTGATATGGTTATCGGTTCATCTGCAACAAAGTTATCAAATGATGTGGCTCGATATTTTGTTGAGCTGATTCATCATAAAACACATATTCATGAAAGTTTATTCAAGGCTAATAAATCTTTTGACATCGTTGATGCTGATGTGAATATGGTACAACTTAACCGGGATTCTGACACAGCCATAGAATATAGGTCTAAAATTCAAAGTTCTTCACTCCCACCTAACAAAAAAGAGGAGAAAGGAAAATCAAACTTGCTGTTAGCAATATCGACATTTGGCTATCAGATCTTGCAATATCCTCATTTTGCTGAACTTTGTTGGGTAACATCCAAGTTAAAGGAAGGCCCGTCTGCTGAAATCGACGGGCCTTGGAAGGGCTGGCCATTTAACTCTTGTATTGTTCGACCTAGTAATACGTCAGAAAAGGTAGCGGTTGTGAGTGGCTCCAGCAATGTTAAAAGTAAAGAAAAATATGGTTTAGTTCATGGCTTAGTTGCAGTCGGTTTATCAGCATATAGAGGTGTGTACTCATCATTACGAGAAGTTTCAGCAGATGTTCGGAAGGTTTTGGAGCTTTTAACGTCACAAATTAATGCTAAAGTTGAGGGTGGGAAAGATAGATACCAATTCTTTCGTCTTCTATCTCAAGTTGCTTATCTTGAAGATTTGGTAAACAGCTGGGTGTATTCGCTGCAGAGGTATGTCTAGTAATTGGAACAACATTGGATTATATGAATTCTTTTACGTTCTTTAATATTCTTATCTTGTGTATGTTGCCATTTCAGTCTTGAAGCACCTCCTCAACTAACGGAGGCCATTCCGAAGCTCGATGAGAGCAAGACTTGGAAGAACGCTCTTGTTCAAGGTGATGATTGCATTGAAAAACCCTCGCAATCAGAATCTATTGACGTCCTCTATTCGAAGGAAGGAGATAAATGCACTGTTGTTGATGAATCGAACGTCATTATAGAAACTCAAGAGTCTACTACCTTCAAGGATCAAACGAATGATCATTTAGTAACGGAGCCAAATGGAGTTGGTGTAGAATCGGCTAAGTTACAAAGTGTTGAGAATCATTCAGAGCTTAGGTCCATGGAACATTCTAATGGATTCACATGTGAAGAATCATGTGCTTTACCCGATGATGGTCTTTGTAGCCCAGCGAGTTTGGATGGTGTGAAGTCGTGTAATGCTGGTAACGGTTTTGATGTTCCATCCAAGATTAATTCAGACGATAAAGGGAAAATTCTGGATATCGATATCCCAACAGACCAAGTTTCAAGATTTCCAGCCACTCCAACTGGTGTATGCTTGTATCGGTTTTGCTCCAAATGCCTATTCAACCTCCATTCTGTGATGCAAAGAACTCTAGAATCTCAATGGGACAAAAAATCAAGTAATTTGACAACGGAGGACGTTCATGATGTCGTAACTTCATTATCTTTGAATCTTCATACGTCTGTAAGGGAATTTTGTCTCTCTGCAAGTCTTGATGTTTCTAAGAATCCATATGTGAAGAATATCAAGACATTTTTTGGAGGTCAGGAAGTCGGGACTTGTGAATGTGAAGTTTCTGGAAATAGAGCAGACATGGGAATGGAGTGTGGTTGTCATTCAGAAAGCGGCAGCATAAATGGGGTACGTGGAGTTGATTTGGAATTAATATACAAAAATGGTGTACTCGCGATGCTAGACCGTGAAACGGATGTTTCTTTTCACTGTAAATTTCAGACACTATGCCTTTGTTCTCTTATAGAGTATATAGTAATGACCAAGCAGCCTTCTGGTTGATGTGATGATTAGTTGGCTTCAATTTGGCAATTTTTGAGACGATTGCGGATATAGATTTCGATCAAGAGATTAAAAAAACAAAAAACAAAATTTTGATTTCGAGTCTCTCGTTGCTTTTCCTGCTCATTAGTGATGACGGTCTTGCAGATGTCTCTTTCAGATTACGATACAAGGTAACCTGACATCTTGTAAGTAGCATCTGGAACATGTTTTGTTATTTTTCCGCTCTTTAGATTTCTGTTTATTTGTTATGCTCGTTTTTGCCACGTTAGTATGATGCATGCCAACTTCTAGCTGATGTTAAACTGATCACTTAGGGCCCGTTTACCAAATGCTTACTGGTAAGAGAAATTACCCTCACTTACCTTATCATGTAACATTCTCTGGCATCAAAATGGTTTGTTGGTAAGCAGTCTTAAACCCGGTGAGTGCTTACCGCGTAAGAGTCTTTTTTCTCACTTACCGAGTAAGACTCTCGGTTCTTGTTATGCATCTTACCAGGTAAGATTCTTGGTTCGTATCGTGCTCAATCGGTAAGGTAAGTGATATTGGTAAGCGCTTACCCGGTAAGCATTTAGTAAACGGCTCCTCTTTTTTGCCGAAGCTTCTCCCATAATGGTACGGCACAATAATGTTGAAAGTCTCGCACTATTTACACTATTTCAACATACTGTAAAACGGATAGGCTCTAAGTTGTGCTGAGCCTTGGAGTAAATGGTTCCATCATGGCCAACGGCCCCAACCCGAAAGTTACAGATTTGAGCTATATGGAAACCTGCAAGTGTTGTGTTTTTTGAAGTAGATAATATCTATACATGAAACTCGCACACTGTTCACGGTTGGTGATTTTTGAACCGTCGACCTCTGGGGGGTGGGGTTCTGCCGGTAACCCGGGTATTGCTCGGCAGGGGGGAGGAAACTGGTGGCGTAGCAAGGCGGCATGGGGCTGTTTCAACCAGATTTTAAATTGTTATGCACAGGTTCAATCATGCAATGTGGAGGGATGGTTTTGGGATTGTAATGACCTTTTTCTTTCCTTTTCCCTGATCCACTTTTATTGTTGTAGTGTGATGCTTGTATATGAGGTTTTAGATGGTGTGTGGCGTCTCGTGGCAATGAGGTCAAGTCTCAAGCCTTAGGAGCCACAATGTTTTTCAAGGTGCAATTTAATGGCAACAAATCTGTATATCATATATATTATATATATATATATATATATATATATATATATATATATGGGTTCATTTAAAGGAGAACTGACTAGTTTGTGGTAACCGTGAAATCCAATCCCAACCACAAATCAACAATTCCAACCACAAATCAATAGATAAATTAGGAAATTTATAATTTTAGGAATTTTGAATTAAAATTTTAATGCAAGGACATTTTAGGTATTTTCTCTCATCTCTTCTCTCTTCGTCTCCCGTCCGCCAGTGATATTACTATGATACCTAAAAATATTGACTCTGTTAAACAAGACACATTTTGATACCCAAACACATATGAGATGCATTGTGATACCACTGTGTTACATCTCCGATCGGTCACACAAACGACCTTAGTGTAATATCCAATCACATATAAGATGCATTGTGATACCACTATGGTATCACCGGAGGACGGGGATGGAGAGAGAAGAGAAGAGAGAATACCTAAAATGTTTTTGCATTAAAATTTTAATTCAAAATTACCAAAATTATAAATTTTCTAATTTATCTATTAATTTGTGGTTGAAATTGGACCTTACGGTTACCACAAACTAATTAGTTCTCATTTGATTTTGTCCTTATATATATATATAATTATATATACAAACATTTTTTTACCACTACTTAAGGAGTCATGGTTTTTAAACAATTTAATTTAAGTTATATACTGAATTATCTTCAACCCAACAATTAAAAAGAACTCAAGAACATAAAAATTATGGGCCTATTAAACACTAAAAGATTCTTTTAACCATATTCTAAAAAAACATATTTAAAAAAAATATAGTTTGATATATTTATTTATTTATTATTATATTATTTTATTAAAACTTAGTGATTATAATATGAGTTATTTATTGAAGTATTTTTTTTAAAATTAAAGTGATGAATTTTTCGATTAAAATATTACATAAATAGCAATCATGTGTATATTTTTATTTTATTAATCCATATTATAACAAAGTAAAAAAGATCACAAAATATATATTTTTTTTAATTTTAAAGAATCAATCGGAGATAGCTTTAAATAAACATTTGATTTGAACTTAAAGAAGTTTTAAAGATTCGATTGACATCGTTGGATCATATGCTGCTTGATTTCGTTTTCGGTTGATTGAAATGACAAAGACATGCTCTACTTGTGTTTTCAGGTCCAAGTTGTTAGAAACAATAGAGGGTTTAATCCAGAAACTGCTAGAAAGCGACGTGAAAATGAAAGTCTGTGACGTTTAAATCAACAAATCAGATCCATCCAAATCGCTAGGCCTTAATCTTTTAACGTTTAGCAAATCTTTGAACCAGGGCCAATGGTTTCAAATTTAAATCAACCAACTTTCTAACTTTACATATAAAGTTCGTTTTTAAAACGATAAACTTTAAAAATGGACTTCTCAAAATGAAAAAATAATCTGATTTTAACTAAAACAATACAGGTTTGAATGAGAAAATTTACGTCCCGACAAAATAAATGAAGCGAAAATCAGAAATATGGACAAGATCAGTAAATTCCAAAATTACTTAGGGGTTGTTTATTTACCTCTTAATAGTTCTATTAAGAGACAATTTCTTAATCGTTAAGAGGTGAATCTTGTTTGCCAAAAAAAGAAGCCTATCTTCTAATGATTTTAGAACTCTCTGAATGATTTTGTATCATGGGCCTCCCTTAACCATTAAAAACCCTAATTTCATTGTAAACAATTATCAAACAATTACATTTCATTTTGCACTATATCATGAGAGTCTCTTAATCATTCTGACCACTTAATGATTCTGCACAAAACCATTCAGCAAGTGCCAAACAACCCCTTAATCAATCTCAGGAGGATGTAGTGAAATCCAGTCGTTGTCAAAAATCTTTGTAGACATAGAGATTCATCTGCAATAATTGTAGGCTATTTATGATCTTCATGAGGGACTAATCGGTGCACGTAAGCTGACCCAAAAACCAAGATTAAAGAAAATGTATTTTATCCAAAAACCTAACCTTTTATTAAGCGACACGTGGCACCATAAGTTAACTAGTGACCCAGATGATAGGCTATCTGTTTAGTTCAATCAACATCGTTGTCTATGAGACCAATCATCAATCTGTTGGGCCCAATTGTCTGCATTTATGTGTGTAGGCCCCACTTAGAGAAATTGTTGAAAAGTTTAGAGTAAACTACAAATTTGGTCCTTGTAGTTTATCAAAATTAACAATTTTTTGTTCATGTAGTTTTGAAATTACAAAAAAGAACATCGTGGTTTGTAAAAACGTCCGAATTTGATCACTCTCTGTAACAGTTTCTATTTTTTTTTTTGTCAAATGAAATGCATTTTCGTCCTTTTATTCATTTGTTTGTCTTTCTACCCAATTAAAAAGTACAAGGATCAAAACTATGAACTCGATTTTGATTGGGTGAAGACAAAAATAACTGATTCTTAAAGGAAAGTACTAAATCCGCTAATGTTTTTACAAACCTCGATGACCATTTTGTTATTTCGAAACTGCAGGGACGAAAAATATCATTTTTAACAAACCAAATTGTTAAATGAATCCAATGGGTCGAAGATACTTAAATACATGACGTTTTGAATCAATTCTTTCCACACTCTGACCAAAATATTCGTCAAGCGAGACGCATTTTGATTTTTTTTAATCGTTAGTGAAAAACTCATTTTAAAGAGTCAATTGGGTGTTGCCACGTGTCTCTTTTCACTCCTTGTCGACAAGAGACCAAGTACAAACACCACCCAGTAAGGAGCTATTATATCCCTATCGATCGTTGATGAAGGTACGCCGACACCATGACCGCTGTGACTACCTCCTTTCCTCCATCGCAATCCCCTTGTTACTCCCTTTGCAAACCTTGTTCCTCCCTCCATCTGATGTTTCATCGTTGATCATCTTCATCAGTCGTAGTTGCATCAGAATCGAAGAGATATGAATCCACCAGAAGAAATAACCAATGCATAAGGGTGTTTTCTTTAACCTAGAACCTAGAGTCGTTACGCTTCATATGGGGTTTGGGTTTTTTGTTTTGATAACTGATCTTAAAAAATGAAGTGACATCTGTTTTAACCTAAAATCTGTTATTTATACGTAGAGTTTCTAAAATGTTTAAGATAACTTTGAAATTCGAGTGTGAGTTGCAATACATCTAAGTCAAAACCGAATGAACCCAGTATATCCCAACTGAGATCAAGTATGAGTTGGATATCTGTGTTAACAGAATATGCAAAATACAAGTGTATCCATATGCTTGCAGACAATATTTTCACAACTAACTATCTGAATAATGATGATTTAACGTTTTGTTTGTACATTGGTTATGTGATTTAATTCTCGATGATACTGTTAAATATTTGCTATTCCTGAAGGGGCATTATTTCTGAATTTCGTCCCTATGTGTTTTTGTCTTGATTGGTTAATCCAATCGAGAGAAAATGTTGTTGTTTGCTCGTATTTTGATTGCCGACGTGCTCTCGCCTTAAAATCTCTTTCAAAAGTGGGAGATGTGTGAGTTGTCTCATTTTCTACTAAACCGAGAAACAGTGTAAGAATCTTCTCGTATCTTTTAAGATAAATAATCTAGAAGATATATATAAACACTTAACGGAAACATAACTCGTTTGATTGTCGGACGAAATGTACATTATTCAGTTACGTGCCGGTTCTATTTTCATATCAAATAACGGTTTGTCGTTGTGTTTCAATTGGATTTAACGTAATGGAATTGGAATTATATTATGATTGACGACCTTTGATTGCGCAAATCGTGTACGTCTCTTTTAGATGTGTTTAATCATATATGATTAAAAATTTGTATCACGTGTTAGACACTTGTTCATAGGTGAACCATCTTGTTTTAACATTAAAAAAAAATATTGTGTTCATATGTGAACCATATTACCAGATACACGTAATGCAAACTAGGTATATACAGATTACCAATTATTTTGAAAAAAAGTGAACAATGTCCAGAAGTAAACACATGAACATTGTTTATAAGCACGACTTAATGTTTGTTCATAAGTGAACTAGAGACAATTCCACATTTATTTCACATGTGAACCAGACTACATAATGTATGTGTTACTAACATAAAACATGGACGTTACAAAAATCTTTATGATTTTTTTCCAAATATACCCCTGTTCATAAGTGTTCATCTATGTCTATAACGCATCTTATTATAATTTATTAAATAAAATGCCATAATGATTATAGATCATAATTTCCAAGATGAAGGGCTCAGATTGGTTCATAAAGTATCTATATAGAGTCGAGTTCATACGATAATTATACATATTTAAAAAAATAAGAAAATCCTCGAATCACGTGTGATTTTACATTAAAATAACGTACAAAATCATATGTGATTCACGTGACTTTGCCATGCGACTTTGCCACACCCATAGGGTCACTTGCATACCTTTTTGCCCGTAATGCAAAATCATGTGTGATTTTGTATGTAATTTGACTATTCTCTTATTTTTCTTAAACATGTATCATCCTCGTATCAATTTACCTTTTTATATATATATATATATATATATATATATATATATATAGAGAGAGAGAGAGAGAGAGAGAGAGAGACGGAGGTTCATAAGAGAATATGATCAAAGTAAGAAAACACGAGAATCCCTATATCACTTGGTCAAACCGCATTTGCGTGCCCAACAAGCCGTGACCCAGGTTGCGGCTAAGGTCGTCCGTCTCTCTAGATATATTATAGTCACACGTGATTGAATGTAAAATCATATGTGATATAGGTGTTCTCATATTTTCTTACTTGAACCATGTTCTTATTTGAATTCAACCCTATATATATACATGTATATATGGATTTGTTTTTTATTCAGAAAATATTAACGTAAGATAACACGGTTTCAAATTCAAATATGAAGGTAATGTTTGGTATGCAGACATGACTGGACAAGACAAAATTAGTCTGGATAAGATTATAGGATTGGACCAATTGTCTATATGATGTTTGGTACGACCAGGACAAGACTGAACAAATAATTGTTAAAATGACAATATAGCCCCTAAATATTCTTTAATGATTTTATATACCATATACAATAGTAAAATATAACACAAATCAAACAAATATTCAAATTATCTAATTTATAAACTTTCTTACACATTTTCAGACACACACACACACACACACATATATATATATATATATATATATACATAAATATATACATTTATATGTTAATACCAAATTTGAATACATAATTTGATATAACTGACATACCGGTAGTCGTTGAGGTAAAGGTGGTGATGACGATATTGTACTGACCAGTGGTGTTGATACAAGTGGAGGTGGTGGCAGCTACCCGCCGACGCTAATAGAGATGGAGGTGACGGTTGTTGCGGAGATCGAGATGATAACTGTAAAGAATGTAAAAATACTGACTTTTTCTGGTATCCCATGTAATACCAAACATAACACATGATTTCACATCCATTCCAGTCCAATCTCATACACCAAACACAACCATAAAACCAAATTGGTTCACCAAACATTGAACCATACCATATCAGACAAAAACCCGTTTTCTTTAAATCACTTTATATTACCATTAATATTATATAATAAGAATATTAAATTATATATATATATATATATACACATAAATACAAACAAATATATATATATATATATATATATATATATTCCATATATTTGTATAGATTTGCAAATTGAGCATGGCATGATTGATGATTGTAGTCCATAAACAAAGAACCAGCACATGGCTTGGTTTGCTGGCATTTCCCAACACTCACTTTATTCCCTCCCCAACCCCAATCAATCCCATTTGCCACTTCATTTTTACCATATATATAGAATATAATATATATATATATATATATATATATATATAACACCCGAAACAATAAACTGACCCAATAACTTCGAATTCAACTTAAAACCATAGTGAAAGTTATTGGTAGTCTACAACTTTGTAGTTGTCCGATGAATTAGTCGTTGTCATAGTCTCTGTGGCCGTGGAGGCTCCAGTAATCGCCTGGAAAAAATAACCGATGTATATAAGCTGACCTGAAAATCCACGGTTATTTGAGAGCAATCAGGCACCACATGTTACATGGAGTGGTTTAGTTTTGAGACAATTTCAAACCCACATGGCCCACTTGATCCCTCCAATCACAATCATCTCCATTTGACAGCTTTCTCCAACAACATAACAAATCTCACACCATGTATTTGCTTATATAAGTTTGGTGCCATCTTTTGTGTGTTGGCAAAGACATTTGGTGACTACCCTTTTGAAACCCTCTTTCAAATCAGTCAAGAAACTGAAAACAAACCAACTCTACCCATGTCTACATGTTGCTCTAATCCTTCTTTAATGGGTCAAAATCAAGAAATCTTGGCCAAAGAGTCGTCGAACGAGGAGCAAGGCGCGAGCTTTTTGATGCGGAAGGGGAACCCGGGTCGTGGTTTGATCCGGGAAGCATCCATGATGAATCTTGGTAGCGGGAACGGCAGAGAAGATGATATCGAAGATGATGAGAGTGAGTTCACGATGGGGAGGTTGATCCGGCAAGCGTCTCTCGACTCTTCTCGTTCGTCTCCTCCGCAACGAATCGCTAAGGTATGTTTATACCATGTTGAAATATACTTTCTATCATGTCAATCTTGTGAGAATACGTGGAACCCCATTAGATTAATTTTCAAAAGAGCAGTTGAGAATACTCCATATTATCCCAGAGTGTTTAATCCCTACAATGATAGACCTTAACTCTGATACCATGTTGGATTATGTGGAATCCCATTAAAATCCAACATATAAAGAGAAGAAATGGTCCAAATCTAGCCGCTGCAAAACTCCAACAAATCTGATCTTACAAAAACCTTCGACCTGATACATAGTTTATGTCACGATCGACTTGTTTTACCGATGACTAAAACTACGTTTTATGCAGGTTATGACAGGAAGTTCGAGTTTACCTCGATATCCGTTACAAAAACCCGAAGCAAATCAAGAAAAGATGAGGAACAGAAGCAAAAACTCCATGAAAATGGGGAAGAAGGCACCAACAATCCCAGCAGGGTGGGTTGATAAGGGTTCATCAGAAGATATGAAGGAACAAATCAAGTTCTGGGCCAGAGCTGTGGCTTTCAATGTCCACCAAGATCGGTATTAAACCGATAAGAACAGATACGTACGTATTACGTACAAACAGTGTACATAATTATAAAAGTTTGATCCGGTTAACTCATAAATATGATGCTAACCGAAACTTTTTTGAGTTTTTGCGATGTAATTAACTCGATTTCAATAAAATGATTTTACGTTTGATGATGTTTGTCCAACAGGGTTTGCTTCAGTAGTTGATATTTACTGTCTGGTTTTTTTAACCGATTTAAAGCATAAAATCCTGGTTAATTTAACCGATCACAACTGTTTTGGCTCGGTTAGTATAGGTTGAAACAGTCGGGTTGTATTGTTCAGTAGCTGATTATAAAATATAATATAAATGAAAAGGGTTTCATTTGATTTGACACTTCAAACCGCAAATTGAACTGCATACCTTGGTGACCAACCGAGTAATGAAGTTCGGACCTAGCCTAATTGTTTCGGTTCAAGTTTAATCGGTTTCAGCCAAACCCTGAACGCCCGTTGATATCGGACAAATGGCTGCAGAGATAGAGGAGCAGATCGAGTATTGCAGAATGAAACTTTGCTTGCTTTAGAATTGACGTTCGATGTCTGATTGACTATTATAATACGGGTCAAACTCAAGTTTATAGCGACATATTGACTTCTTGGGGCCATATGAGCATTAAATAAAAAAATTTGACACTTAAAAACACCATCCACGAGGGTGAAGGTTCTTTCAAACCCAACTACAAAATGATTAATGGGAATGGAACCTAAATCTTGCAATTGCAAATTTGCAAGTAATCTGGGTCTCATATTTTATACATGAAGTACTGTTTATTGATGTATATTACTTATAATTTAAGATTACAAGTAATTATATATAAGTACAACTTATTAAGCTCCATGTTTGAATTCGTATAACTAACTATACATAAATATAATCAAATACATGATAAAATTTTTATTTCAAATATAAAATCTAAAATATAATTAGGATAATTATTAAATTATAACAGAATACTTAGTTATTATCTTTATAAAAATTATATTATTAAATTCAAAAATAAATTATTCTTCATTAAACTTAAATTAAATTATAATAAGAAAATGAATTAAAGAAATTACACAAAAAAAAAGAATTTATATATTTTTTTTAATTGTCATTATATTTTCAAAGTTATATTTTATTAAGAAATTATTGTTTGATCAAAACCACATAAATTCATATTATAACATTGATAGAGACCAAAAAAATAAAATGAAACATTGAAATCAAGATACATCTTGTTGCATTGCACGAGTACCCTTCTAATGAATTAATAATGTTAATTTGTTATTTCAGTTAAATTAATTATTCCAGTTTAGAAAATATTCTATATATGTGTATATATTAATTTTTTTCAAATAAAATATTAATACAATAAAGTTAAATTAATTTAAACTTTTTGAATTTTATAATTATCTAAAATTACAATTATACATATTAAAATATATATTTTGATAATATGACATGTAATCTAATATACAAAAGTCATATATAATATAATTTAATACACACGATTAATAAATCAATACAAATAAAATTACATATTTATTCGTCTAAAAGTTACTGTATTTTTTTATCGTACAATTTTCGTTATTGCTTTATCATAGTTTGATGTTTATCATACAATTTTTTAATTATTTATTTGAAATTAATGTTTATGTTTTAATTAATATTAAATTAAAATAAAGAATTATATATATATCATGTATTTATTAAGTAGAATATAATTAAAACGAATATAATAATTATAAAGTTGTTTATAAATGTTGCATTGAGTACCTTTTGATCCTCTCTCTCAGTGATTTGATGATAATCCCTTTTTCCTTTCGATGTATTTTTGTGATTCTGTACTTTCAGTTCCAGCGATCATTACACTGAGCATGTTCAGTGATCGCTGAAGAACTCGCATTGTAATTCATTCAGAGACAACGATACTTCAAGAAAACAACACTCACACCAAAGATCCTCCAGCAAACGT